GAAGGCCTTTGTGGCGTGCGGGCTGGCTGAGGGTGCTCTGAGAGGGACCTTAATGTGTGTGACGGCAGCGGGGAGCATCGTGTGTGTTCCACAGGAATCCTGCTCTCTGCTCCTGGACATCTGGGGGGCCAGCACTGCGCTTTGGGCAGGGGAGGAGCAGGGGTCGAGGTTTGGTCTTGGTGCCTTTCGCCCCTGTTTTAGGGCTGGAAGGGAGAGCCCTGTCCTCTGCCCGAGGAGAGGAAAGGGAGTGGTTCTGCCTTCTGGGGGAAGGCTGAATGTGAGGAGAGGGGTCTCCAGAGAGCTGTGTGGCAGGAGCCTTCGAGCCTGCTTGGTGGGCTGGCAGCTTCACTGGGGGTGGGAGGCCTGGGCTGGAGAGGCAGGGTGGGAAAGTGTGAGTCAAAGGGACCCTTGTTGCAGCTGGGGGATGAGGTACAGCCACCTAGAGAGGCTTGCAGGGGGTCAGATGAAGCACATGAAGAGCTTGTTTTGGGGGACAGTATGGCAGCTTCTCTCTACTAACAATTCAGGAAACGTGGGAATAGCACAGAAGATGTTTCCATGTTCCTCTTACCCTTGTTCTTTGTCACCAGAAAAAGTAAGGTGGCTGTGAATGTGTTCTTGTGCCTCATCCCTGCCCAGCCCGGGATAACTGCGGTCAGTGCCTCTCTCCCCACCGTGCTCTGAGGGAACCCAGGGCGGCTGGGGGGATGGCGTTTGTTGTTCAGGTGGAGCTGGCAGTGGAGGAGTGGCCTGGGCAGCCCGCAGCCTGTGCGGGGCAGGGTGGCCGGGGGCCTGGAGCGCCGGCAGGGCAGAGGAGAGCAGGGAAGGGGCGCTGTGGAGCCCCGCAGCTCGTTGGCAGTTCTTCGCTGAAACGTGTCCAGCTCCTGGTTGTTCCTGGAGGGTGAGGAGCACGGGAAGAGCTGCGAGTGGCTGCAGGAAACTGTAGCTGGTTCCCAAGGGTGGCCTTGCCGCTGAAGCGCCCTCTCTGCATGCCAGAACCAGCAATGGAAGCAAAGTGCTGCTCTGGTGAATCCTGGTGGGACTGTTAGAAAACTGACAAAACGATCATTTAGCAGCTCACGTTTAACTCCAGCTGCTTTCTCCCTAAATGGAGGATACTTCCCTCAGGCTAACGTAGGGTTCACTCCCTGCCTTTCAGGGATTTTGTTGTTTATGCTTCAGTTTTAGAGTCACTTTTTTTCCCCAGAACCAAACTTGAAGACACGGGGTTTGAGTGGTGCTGTTGTTTCCCCTCGTTCTGGTGCTGCCGTGGGCTGGTGACTGTGGTGGCAGGAGCTGTGCTGGGGGGCAGCTCCACGGACACTCCTCAGAGGCAGGCGGGGCCTTTGCTTCCCCAGTCACGGGTGCTTGGCTTGTTTTGAGCCGTTCATCGTCCTCGCAGTAACGTTGGTAGTTTTGCTGCTACTTGTTCCTGTTTCTCCTTCTGCACGTGTGTCCTGCAGTGCCCCCCAGCCAGCAGGGAGCTGGAAGAAGCTGCTGGCTTGTTGCCCAGGTGACCCCTGGGCAGATGTGTGGGTCAGACAGCAAGAGTTGTGCCGGGAGTCGGCGCCGGTGGATGTCTGCCGCTGGAAATGGGGGCTACAGTGAAACCTACTTGTTTTGTGTTTCTTGCTCTGGACGAACTGATAAGAGTTTACTTTTGACTGAGCTGGCTTTTGATTTCGTGCTGAGTGATGTTCTTCTTGTCTCTCCTGAAGAAATGGAAGCAGCTGTCCCGGCTCCAGCGCAGTGTCATCCTCTTCCTCTTCGCCTTCTTGGCAGTCTGTGGAGTCATTTCATACACAAGCATGGGAGAACCCTGGAAAAGTATGTTCTGTAGAGCTCAGAATTACTGGAATGTGGTATATTTAAGATGTTGTAGTTCTTACAACGAGCTTTAGTTTTTATTGACAATGAGTTTAATGGTGTATCCATTAAAGTGCAGTTATGAGATTTTTTTGTGATGTTTCAGTGACTTGTTTCTGCTTAATCAAATATTTTTTCATAGGCTGTTTCACTGTTTGTCTTGATGAGAGCAGCATTTTGGTTTAGTTGATTAAGATTTGGAGGCTGTGAGGGTTTTTTAAAAATTATCTTAATATGTAGATATTGGCAATCCAGACCTAAACATCAGAGTAAGATGATCTGTTGGTTTTGATTATCCAGCAGATATTCCAGGTTTTTCTACAATACAAAGGCACAATTACCTTTGATGTTGACTTACTGCATGTAAGCATGAGAAGCTAAAATAATAGCAATTAAAAAAAAAAGCATGTGCCTTTTAGCAGCCTCCTGGTATATTAGGGAGAGCATTAATACTGAAAGGTGCCTTGTGTCTAACAAGTAGTGTGTGTTTGTCAGTGTTTTGTGAGTGGAAGCACTTTGAGGAGGTGGGTGCAGCATTACTGGTACATGTCTCCAGCTGGAGGCTGCACTGTCGATTCCTTGTGCTGAGCAGTGTCCTGTGTCTAGGTCTAACAAACAAGTCACTGGATGATCAGAGAGCAGAACCAGAAATCCCTGGATTAAAGCTGGCTAATCCAGCTGTTCTGCCAGCACCCCAGAAAGCAGATGCCAACCCTGGAGACTACCCAGAGCTTTCACCACAGGTACTATGAGAAGAATTGAGTTTTATAGAGCTACCAGAGAGTCAGTGAAAGCTGCAAGCAGTGCTGGGTTCCAGAGGAGCTGTGACCTGCAGTTAGTCTGCTCTGGGTGGAACGCTCTCCTCTGAGGAGGGCCTTTGCTGTGGCATTGCTTGGCTTTACCTTTTCATTTCAGTGCTCAGCATACTGTTTCCTCATCCCTGTGGTACCCGGGGGTGCCAGGACGTGGGTCACAGTGACCCCTTGCTGGAGGGTGCAGTGTCCTGCTGTGATGGGTGTGTGTGGGGTGGGATGCTCTGGGTGTCAGCCTTGCTGCTGCAGGGAGCCCCAGCAGAGCCCTGGCTGGAGACACGGCACACTGAGCTGCAACAGTGCTGCTGGTGGGGTGGAGAACAGCAGCCACCTGAACAGATGTCTGTGGGTTTTGAAGGGTTAAGTTTGTGGGGGATGAGATGGGGGAAAACCCAGGAGCTGACTGTGGGTTAGTGGGATACTGGCTACTGAGGTGCTCCCTCATGAATTTCAAGATTTCCAGTTAATATCAAATCTTACACTGAATCTTTCCCTCGTCGTGCACAAGTGTGCATGTGTTCCTGCACAGTCATCCTTGGTATTGACTAATATGAGCATTGTGTAAGCTTTTTTTTTTGGCATGCTTTTTGCTAATTCTAATAAAAATTTACTGTGCCTGGTAAAACAGAATCAGTTATTGTTACAGTCCTCTGGTAGTGCCTTGTGTTAAGTTAACGTCTGGTAGCAGTAGAGGTAGTTTAAAAGTAATTTATCAGTGTAAATTTAAGAAATGGATAATTTTGGAGAAGTTTAAGGACCTTCAGCCTACCTTCCATCCAGGACAGAACGTGCATGCTGGTGCAGTACCAAAATGAGATTTGTCTGAACTTACCTTTAACCTCAGGATGCTGTTGATTTGTGGTTTGGAGTTTTACCACCTCTGCCACATACCAAGGGCTCTTGTTCTCTGTTTCCTCAGAAGCCACCCAAGGCTCCCCCCCTTCGGCGCGGCCCCTCCAGCCTCCAGGTCAGGGCTCCGCGGCGGGACGTGCGCCTCAGGGCCCGCCAGGAGAGCAGCAGGGCTGCAGGAGAGCCAGTCCAGCCTGAGAAAGAGGAGAAAACTGAGAAATCTGTCATCAGGTAGGAACCCTTCCAGCAAGGCACAGCGCTGCCTGTCTCACCCCTGCCACGATCTGTTGGGTGCTGCAGTGAAACTACACATTTTTTTTCTTGGCTGTGTCCCAGGTTGAATTCTTTCCCTGCATATTTATTTTTTCCTCATCTCTGGTCTCACAGCTGTTGATATTTTTCGGCTGATTTATTTAATTTTGATGAATGTGCAGCTTTTCTGCTTCTACTGTTTGCATCACAGAGCTGCAGAGGAGTTGGAGCCCTGCAGGGCTGCCTGTGTTTCTAATACACTCACAGGCTCTAACACTCAGGAGAATTTTAGGTGTCTGTAGGTTTCTGCTGTTCCTTTTGTAGCAAATATTGATACACTCGTGTGGATACAATAATACTGCCACAAGTGTCTTGGACCTGGGTCTGACTTGGAAAAGGATACTTGATGTTTGTGTCCTTCACAGCACTGGCACAGCTGAGCTGTTCATAGCCTCAGAACTGTGCCTGCATCAGCATTTTGGCTGTTGGTATTATCTGAAATGTCTCAGGATGACTTGAAGTGTTTTATTCCTGTGCTTCCATTTATGCTATAACTCACTGGGTTAAATGAGTGGTTAGAGGAAAACAGGAGAGCAATGAAAGCAGAATGAAGGCGAGTACAAATTTAAAGAATGAAAGTAAGAAATTAAATGATGGGATTTATTTAAGTCCTGAGGTACACTGACTCTAAACAACAGGAACTTGACATGTCCTGTGAACCTGATTCCCATAGGAGATGTGTCATGAACTGAAAGACAACACACTGAACAACAGTAACATGTTAACCAAAATGGTCAAGGTTGACTGATCTGTTACAAGCTTGGCTTGACCTGGAAGTCCCTCCTGAAAGAGCTCTCCTTCAGGAGGTTCTTAATGAAAACCTGTAAAAGCTGATTTATGCATCTGGGGTGGCACAGGAGTCTTGTGAACCCTCGGGAGTAAAGGAAGGACTCTGAGTAGCTGTCCCTTTGTGCTTGTTCATGGCTTTCTGATGACTGTGATTTGGTACTATTAAATGTTAGTGGCCCCTATGATCAGTTCAGAAGGGGTAGGTAAGAAAATAGTTCTCATGGTGTTTTAATCACCATTAAAATCACCATTCTCAGGTGTTTTAATTCATCTTAGAAGTTCTTTATTAAATTTCATTGCCAAGATATTTAATGAAATTCCAAGACACTGTAAGACAAGTTTCTTAATCCAGTAAAATTTCTTTGAAAATTGTTTCTTTGAGTAGAAAAATTACCTGGTGGACAGCATAGTTATTTGATCCTTGAATACAGAATCCAGCTCCTGTTTTATCAAAGAAAAATTAAATGCAGAGATAAGTCTAATTCACTGACGTGACTTTCTGTGATCAAATTAAGCCTTCATTGTAATCCTTTTTATTTGCAGCTGGAGAGGAGCAGTGATAGAACCTGACCAGAGCACTGAACCTCCATCTAGTAAAATAAAGGAGCCAGAAAAACCTTCATCTGTGGAAGCTGAAGACCAGAAAGAACCAGGTAGATACAGTTAATGATACTTTAGTTTCTGTTCACTTTTCTGGTTGAAGTTGTGCAATTCTTCTATGCACACATCAATTCTACTTATTTATTTTAATTCAAGGAAACAGAAAGTGTAAGAAAGGTTATTTACCTAGTACATCCAAGCCTTTCAGGGTCCTATTCCACTGTGGCAGCCTTCACACGTGTTAGCCTTCAGAATCTGAAAATAAATTTTAGTGGCAAATCTTTGAGCTGTAGCCTCTGGGAGGAGGTAAAGGTTCCATCTTTTGCCCAGGAGAGGACAAGCTGAAGAGAGAAGGCTTGAAAGGGACAGCTTCCTTTTTCAGCAGTGGCTTCCCTTTTGTTCTGCAGATACAGGCACAGTGATTTCCTCCCCAAATTAAACAGCCCTTTTTAAGGCTCACCAGAAGGCTGCAGGAGCTGGTTTTGCAGCTGCTGTCCTTGTGGAGTGAAGAACCTGTTCTGCTCTCTGGGCTCAAAGGCCAAAGTTCTGATATGATAAACGTGGCATATTACAATGTGTGTTTGGCTTTTGCTAGCTGAATATACACAGGGTTGGTTCTGCTGCTTGGTGTTCCTCACTCTAGAAAGCCTTGTTTATAATTTTGCAAAATTTCAGCTGACAGGGTTGTTGAAATTTTTCATGTTGAATGAAATCAACTTGATAGCAAATAACGAGCAAAAATTTCACTGGAAAAAGACAGAGCTTTGCCAAGGTGGAAATGTAAATGTTCTTCCTTTTTATATTAAATGTAGAGTTCAAGAGAAATAATTCTATTTTAAATAAAAAAAATTGGCAGAAACCAATGAATCAGACAGAGATGAAGGAAGAAATGGTGTGTGGTAAGTTAGCCGAGGGCTGGCTGTTGTTAAGCATCTCTTCAGCCGCTGAATTACGGCTGATTTAAGCAACCTTAATTCTGGTATTTCCTGACTTTCAGGTCTTTGAGCTTTAGTGATACCTATCTAACAACCAGGCGTGTGATTATTTGCATGTTTTATTTGCAGAAGTGACTTTTTTTGCCAGTGAGAGATCTCTTGTTTCTAGCTGGCCAGATTACTGACCGGAAACACTGACTTGTTACCCTGCAGCGGGAAGACTAATCTAAGGATGGTTTTTCCTTTACACTGATGGTTTAGCTTGGGAAAAGTTTATCTTGAGTGGGGTGCAGCACAGTGGTGCCTGGTGTGGGTGCAGGCTGAGCCAGGTGCTGTTGCCCCCTTGCAGTGCCCGTGACCGAGCGGCAGCTGGCTGTGGTGGAAGCGTTCCGCCACGCCTGGCGGGGCTACAGGGACTTCGCCTGGGGCCACGACGAGCTGAAGCCTCTCTCCAAGTCCTACAGCGAGTGGTTTGGACTTGGGCTGACCTTAGTTGATGCCTTGGACACCATGTGGATTTTAGGCTTAAAAGAAGGTAATTTTTATCCTCTTTTTCCCTCTCTGAAGTAGTTCCTCGTTTTCAGGCAGGAGATTTCAGAGTTCTTTGAGGGGACTGTTCATGATGTGTGGGCAATAAGTTTAGTTTTCCTGTGAGGGTGAAAACTAAACATGAAAAAAAACCCCAACTATGTTAAAGGACACCATTCTTCTTGGAATGGAACTTTTAGCAAAAAAAAAAGTATTCTGCTGTTTCATGTAACAGTGGATATATCTGCTAGAAATTGAGGAATCTGTTAATAAGCCTGGTGATGTTTTGTTCCTGTGCTGAAACCCTGGCGTGTTCAGTACCTCCTTCTGAACTGCTCTGCTGTCTGCATTTATTCAGTTCTTCTGGAAGTGACTTTGAGAAAAAAATTTTGAACATATTTTAAAAACGTACCCAAAAATTCTGCAGTTCTGTTGCAAAAAAACCTTCCTTAATCATTATTTTGTGGTGCGGGGTTTTTTTAGTGGTATTTAAAAAAAATCATGGGACTGTGTCTGTTTAACCTTGATAAAAGTCCACAAAGGTGGCTATCTACCAATCATGCAATTTTTTGGTATCAAGATAGGAAGAACAGAGCTGCTAGTAAGGGTATGGTAAACAGTGAAAGTCCTTCAAGGTTCTCTTCTACCTTTTTAAAATTTGTGTGAAATATTAAATAAAATGAAAGCTCCATATTGTGTCTGCAGCTTGAGGCCTGGGCAGGCTATCTGGAAGTTCCATCAAGTTGACAGTGTGCTGCTTTTTTTTTCTTCATAAAAAACTGTCAGCTGCATAGAGCTTTTAAAATAAATTATTAGTAATTTGGATGTGTTGAAAATGAGTCCTTGGTGAAGGCTTCTTCATATTTCATAGCAGTTCTTCTGCTGATTGCCTTAGGAAGCTCCTGGGGTTTCTTCTGAATAAAAAATGCTGTATAAATGTAAGTTTTGTTGGAGGTTGTCAGTCTGTCCTAAGAGGACCTTGCCTTTCTCTTGTGCTGCCAGACAGTGCTAACATCTGGCAGTGAGATGTCTGTGGTCCTCAGTCAGCCCAAAATCCAGTGCTTAGCCAAAATCAAGGATGTTTTTTTCACATGAGGACACAGAGGCATCATTTTGCTGTGGAGTTACTCTGTGGGACACGTTCCATTTCTGTGAAAGCAGTGGTGGTTCTGTGCCTGCTGACAGGCAGGGGTTTCTGGAAGGTGTGGGGGAGCTGGAGGTGGCTCCTGCTAACTCACATGCACCACGGGGTCAGACTCTGCAGAAGCAGTCACTGAGCCATGCTGCTGATAGGCTGAGCAGTGAATCCAAAACGTTTTGGGGTTTTTTACATTACTTTTTGATTCAGAAGTGTGATAAGCTCTTCCTGGAGAAAAAACTGCAGGTCGTTGGGATTTTGTGGGTTAAGTGCTGAAGCTGCAGGCAGGTTCCTCAGGTGGTTGCCAGGCTAAAGGTGTTAATGGCTGTTAACTGAAAATGTTGGCTGTTATCTTGGTAGGTGACACCTTTGGTTTAAAAAAAGTTAATAAAAGGCAGCTCTGTGGAAATTAAACTGTCTGACAAGTGGATGGACTTAAAAAGATTTCAGTTTCTGGACCATTTTAACAAAGAATTCCTCAATTTCTTTTTTTTTTTAAAGACTATTAGGAATTTTTTATTTTGCTGGATATTTGTCTGTATGTATCTGTTGTGTATGCTATATAAGATTTAAGCCAATATTAGTCTCTTAGCATGTGCTTTTCATTTTAGTGCTCCACCTAAATTTATGACCCTTGTAGGCAGATCTAGGTAACAGTCATAGATTTATGGAGTACCAATGTCTCTGGTCTGGGTGTTGGAACATGCCAGAAGTTTTTAACTGAACTACATCTTATACTTTGCAGAGTTTGAGGAAGCAAGAAAATGGGTAGCAAACGATTTGGTATTTGATAAAAATGTGGATGTGAACCTGTTTGAGAGTACTATTCGTATCCTGGGGGGCTTGCTGAGCACCTACCATCTCTCTGGAGACAGCCTCTTCCTGGAGAAAGCTGTGAGTGACTGCTTTGACAGATCACCTGAATGATGTGTTCTGTATTGGACAGAGTTGGGGGAAGATTGATCAGAGAGTTAAATGGTGCTGGGTTTTAACAGCTTCATATTTCAAGTGGTGGGAAAGTAATTTACCATTAATCTTTTATGCCTGCACTTCTTTTTCCTCTCTGGGTAACCTCAGAGCATGCTGGTCTTTTACCAGGTATTCCTATATGCCTGTTCTGCTGATGAAGAGCTGACCATAACAAAGAGGAACTAAATGTCTGGCAAGGCATAACAGTTGCCTTTTGCCACCACGTCTTTAGATGAGCCTAGGTGCAGTCAGTGCCTTCAGAGTGACATCAGGGTTGCAGACAAAGGCAGCATGCAAACCAGGAGCAAGGCAGGAGCTCTGTAGTCGTTGCTGTGAATAAATCCATCACCCTTTTGAGCTCTCGGCTTTCTTGCACTCTGGAAAACTAAGCCACTATTCTCTCTTTTTCTGCCTGCTTCCTGAAAGAGGATATAAAGGCTGTGAGGGTATATTTATTTTTCCTTTTGTCTGTCTGTCCTGTGCTCGTGGCTTTCCTTCAGAAAGACCTGGGGCAGAGGCTGCTGCCGGCGTTCCGGACGCCCTCCAAGGTGCCCTACTCGGACGTGAACCTGGGCCGGGGCACGGCGCACCCCCCGCGCTGGACCTCCGACAGCACCGTGGCCGAGGTCACCAGCATCCAGCTGGAGTTCAGGGAGCTCTCCCGCCTCACGGGGGACCAGAGCTTCCAGGTACAGACCCACCAGCCCACTTTCTCCCTTGCCTCCTCTCACCATGGTACCTGTGCTCTCCCTGCTCTCCAGGCGGTGCTGGATGGGTTGTGAAACTCCAGCTGAGGGGAGAAACAATTCCAGTCATTTTCTTAAAGACCTGGAACAAATGAAGAATAATTTAATATATGATATAACATATTATATTAATCATATATAACTATTATATTAATTTATATAAGTAATAATTATAATATAATTATATACTATATTATTAATACACTGTATGAATAATTGAAATATTTTTCTCGCTCAGAATTAATATAATCTATGAATAATTGTAATAAATGAATAATTATTTTTCTCTCTCAGAAACAGCTTTTTGACTTAAAGAAAAAACCAACAGCAAAACCTCTCCACAGCAAACACAAACCAAACGCCACCCCAACCCCCACCCCAGTTTTTTGTCACTGACTCTTTTTGTTTGAGATGAGGCTGTCAGATTTTGAAGCAGCATTAAGCTCGGCAGGGGACTGTGACTTAATGTTGGTAGAATTCTGTGTGCAGTTTCTTGATGCCATTGCCCTGAACAAAATGCAGAGAACAAAACCTTGGTGTTGCCATGCAAGGAATCAAAATGTGACTTCCTAGAGAAGGGTCTGACAGCAGGTCACAGTGTAAAGAAAAGTTAGTTGAAATAAAGTGTAATAAAGAGTATTTTCCACCCTTCTTTTTGCTTGATGTTACCTGTTTTATTGTACTGTATGCAGAGCCCAGACTTTGAAGAGTGCAGTTGTTTAAGGAAGTGTTAGCTATTGGATGAAGTTGTTATTTTAGCTGGACTTTTACTTTGCAGATAGGAGTAAATCACATCACAGTCCCATGCCTGGCTTTTGAGTGAGCTTATGTGAAGGAGAGGAGATGGCTGTAATGATTTCAGTGTACTTAAATGTACCCAGAACATCACGTTTTGAGAGTCAGGAGGTTTGCAGTCCTGTATTTAATATACTGCATGAGCTGACCTTGATGTCCCTGTGATGCTAATTTGAGAAAGAATAGTTATCAATAGAATGTTTGCCAGCCTGAATTTACTAGCCACAGTTCAGTGCATTTCTCATATGTCTGCTGTTCCCTTTGTTTCAGAAAGCTGTGGATGAGGTGATGAGGCATGTCCACACCCTCTCAGGGAAGAACGACGGCCTGGTGCCCATGTTCATAAACACCAACAGTGGGCAGTTCACCCACCTGGGTGTCTACACTCTGGGAGCCAGAGCTGACAGCTACTACGAGTACCTGCTCAAGCAGTGGATTCAGGGGGGGAAAAAGGAGAATGAGTAAGTTCTGTCCATTTCTCACATCCATGAGAGTTGTGCCAGCTGTGGAATTTTCTGTTGCAGTTTGCTGCTCAAAAAATCATGTACCTGCTCAATGGTCTAGTGAAAATATCTGTTTTTAAAAGGAGGTTAAGCAAGCAAGAGGGAGCTGTGGTAACTGGATGTAAAAACAGCATGGGAGTTAGGCTTAGTCTCAAAACTCCTCAGAAAATGTTTCTTCCTCAGCACATCAGATGTGAGGAGTGTTAGAGACAGAAGAGAATGAAGTCTTTGCAGTAGTTACAGAGCTTAATTAGATGCTTCTGAAATACTGATGATACTTCCCCAGCAATGTTTGTGTTTTCTCTGGGTTTGTTAGGGAAAGGTGAATCCTACAAGATTGTTGAGGTGGGTGATTTAGTCCATAAGGAATAACTTTACTTAGAAATGAGACTGAAGTTTAATGTTTGTGTAAAATTTGCTTTAGGTCTCTTATGTTTCTCTTATATGCACTGGATGAGTGGAAGAGAATGTTTGCAAGGAGCAGAGGAATAGGAGGTGTTGGAAAGGATTCCTCCAAAACAGAAAAAAAATTAAGCATTTTTTTCCTGCTTATAAGCTAATTGTGTTGGACTTGGTCCTGTGGAGAGGTTTAATAGGTACAAAGTGACAGGGTGCCTCTCTAGGGCATTTCTTAGTATCAGAGCAGACACATCTCTACAAAGAAAGGTGGTATCAGAAAGTTGCTTTTTCAGAGTGATACCTCACTGTGAACCAAGAACCAGGGTCTCTGTGGCCACAAACAGTGGCATCTTGGGAGCCTCAGAATGATGACTCCAGACTGTGTCTTCCAGATATGTGCTTTGAAACAAGGGAAATTCCAGGTTAATAGTGTGAAACAATGTTTCACAGTGAGAGTGGTAAAACAATTTAAAAGCTTGCTCAAAGTCCTTGGATCTCATTTTTTGGTGGAGAGACTACTACATCTTTGGATGGAGATACTGGAAAATTGCTCAGATAAGCCCTCAGGCAACCTGATCTAACCAAATCTGCTTCAGAGCAGAGCATTACAGTACAGACCTCCAAGAGGTCCTTAGTTGCCTAGATTTTCTGTGATTTCAGTTACTGTAATTTTAAGGATTCCTGAAATAAAATCTGGTTACTCTTAGTAACAACAGAGTTGGGGGTATGTTTTCTTTAGTACTTAAATCTGAGTTGACTTGACAAGTAAACTGAATATTGCTCCATGGTAGTGATAACTAACGACCAGGTGATGGTAACTTTGAGGGTTTTTTTGGTTGGTTTTCACATTTGCTTAAATATTGTTCTTTAGACTGAAATAGGTCTCCAGAAGAATTGTATAGAACATCATCTATGATTAAATATATCCTTATTGCATGTGTGTGAGCCAACAGGGAATGATTTTACTTTACAGACTCTTGGAAGACTATATGAGAGCCATAGAAGGAGTGAAAAAGCATCTTCTCCAGAGATCACAACCCAAGAAACTCACTTTTGTAGGAGAGCTTGCTCATGGCCACTTCAGTGCCAAGATGGTAAGAAGTACAACTGCATTTAAAAGAGCAACAACAAAAGCAAACAGAACCACCACCAAAATAAAAAAGAAAGCACACAGACAGGCCAATGCAAAGCTTCTGTGCTGTCTTTCCTCCTTCCTCCCTCCAAAGAAAAAAAATCCAAACCAGGTAAAAAAAAAAGAGAAAAAGCCCAAACTGTCAGTGTGGTGGCAGCACTGGGCAGCTGGAGACACGAGTGCCCTGTGCAGAGCAGGGGCCTTCTCTGTGAGTTACTCCAGTGAGGCCAGTTATCTTCCCTTAAGACTGAACATTTTGGTGCTGGAGTCAAATATTCCTTCTTTTTTTTTTTTTTTCAGTTTTGGTCATGAAATTGCAGTGGCTGAAACTGTTGAGGCAGTGCCTATTTTATGTCTTATTTATTTTCCATGAGTCAAAAATATGTGGATACTTGCACATCTTACTTCTCAGATTTACCTTCAAAAGAAGCAAGTGATCAGTGAAAAAAAAATCTGATCATTTTGGAGGGTTCTGTCCATTCATGACATTTGTTCCTTTCCTACATGTAGGGTTCTTGTAAAACATTGTTCTGTTTTCTGTAGTGAAAACTGATTGATCGTAACTCCTTGTTTTTAATTTGTACATCCATACTCTTTAAAAAAAAATGCATTTTAAGGTCTTTCAGTTAAAATCTCATGCAAGTGCAGGGACTGGATGTGTGTGTAGCATTTTCTTTAAGCTGAGTGGTGTATTATTAATGTATGTGTAGCCCTGGACATACTTGTTCAGTACCTACAGTGAGCTTCAGTGAATTCTTTGATGTGTTTGGTTTCTTGCTGTAGTGTTTTTGAGCTGTTCAGTTCTGTTTTTCACCACGTGCTGCTTACATCTGAACTCCCAGAGTCTCCCCAAACCTGCTGTGAGACCAGAGCCTGGATTTGGGGTCGAGGATGCTCCTGTCCCAATATACAACAGAACTGAATTCAGCCAGAGAGATCTGGCTTAGGTTTGTGCCTGTGTCAGTACACCTGCTTCTGTCCCAGGGAGTCAGAGTTTTGATATCTAATCAGTTACTGGGTGAAAGGCTTGACAGGTATCTTACTGTGGCCAAGTGGAATAGTGGGGGATGTTCATCTCCTGTGCCTCCACCACCCTCAAGCAGCTCCTTTAGGACCAGACAAAGCTTTTAGAGGTCCATAGAGGTGCTCCTGGTGCACCAGAGTGTTCTTCCTGTGGTTTTGGGGGAGGAGACCTGAGCTTTCATTCTGAATGAGAAGAATGATTTGAAATTCCATATGTGAGATGAGTCTGTGGTTCTTACGGTCACAACACCAGCACATCAGCCCCTGGAGGAGACAACCAGTCTTGTATTGCAAATTGAATTTTGCTGGAGATCAGTTTGGGGCATTTTATACAACCTGTTTTCTGATGTGTTCTTCAGCTGACTGTGATGGTTGAGCTTTCTTGGAAAGTTAACTACATTAATCTTGATTGTTTACGAGTGATGCACAGTTCTTAAAGTAGCACCACTCCTCTTGTCCTGGGAAGAAGTGGTGAGCTGTAGCAAGGGAAGGCTGGGAAAGAAATGTCCCTGCAGGTCTTCCATTGCTGCTGCTTTGTCTGGGGAAGGCAAGCAGGAA